CTGATAAATAGACTCTACAGAGAACTCAAACTAATCAATAAGAAAAGAATAAATAACCCCATTTCTATGTGGGCAAGAGACCTGAACAGAAACTTCTCTGATGAAGACAGGCGCATGGCCTACAAACACATGAAAAAATGCTTATCATCCTTAATCATCAGAGAAATGCAAATCAGTACCACTTTGAGATATCATCTAACTCTGATAAGATTAGCCCATATCACAAAATCCCAAACCTGAGCTCACAGGTTCTAGACCAGATTGAGCAAGAGTGAGACTCTTGTCTCTAAAAATAGCCGGGCATTGTGGTGGGTGCCTGTAGTCCCAGCTACTCAGGAGGCTGAGGCAAGAGAATAGCTTGAACTCAACAGTTGGAGGTTGCTATGAGCTGTGACACAACGGCATTCTGCCAAGGCTGACACAGTGAGACTGTCTCAAGAAAAAAAAAAAGAAGCAAAGTTTTATTTGAATGAAGAAAAAGAATAAAAGAAAGTAGTGATGAGTATAGATAGATTCTTCCAAAGAGTGGAAAAGGGTCCCCCTGGTGAGTGAGAGGAGGAGACCCCACACAAAAGCAATACACAAATATACATACTTTCATCCCAATTCCTCCTACATTCATCTGTAAGGATTCCCACTGGTTCCCCTTAAGGCCTTCAGGCAGGCTGTCCCAGTTTCATAGGTTGTGCATTACCTCAGCTGTCACATAACTCCAATTTTCTTTATTCTGTTATCAATAATTATTAACTTATTTTACTAGTGATGGTATGGTATCAAAAATCATTTTACAACAAAGACATTTGCACCAGAATGTTTATTGCAGCCTAATTCATAACAGCCAAGACATGGAGACAGCCCAAGTGCCCATCAACCCGTGAATGGATTAACAAATTGTGGTATATGTACACCATGGAATAGTATGCAGCCAGAAGAAAGAGGGAGACTTGGGCAGTGCATGTGGCTCAAATGAGTAGGGTGCCAGCCCCATATACCCGGCCCTGGCCAAAAACTACAAAAAATAAAAATAAAAATAAAAAAAGAGAAAAATTAGCCAGACATTATGGTGGGTGCCTGCAGTCCCAGTTACTCAGGAGGCTGAGGCAAGAGGATTGCTAGAATTCAGGAGTTTGAGGTTGCCCTGAGCTACGACACCACAGCATTCTACCCAGGGAGGCACAATGAGACTCAGTCTCAAAAAACAACAACAAAAAACCAACAACCCCTTAACACACATTTTATAAATTAAGAATAAAAACTCTATTAAGATTTACAAGGGCCAGGTGCAGTGGCTCACGCCTGTAATCCTAGCATTCTGTGTGACCAAGGTAGGTGGATTGCTTGAAATCATGAGTTAGAGACCAACCCAAAGTCAGCAAAATCAAGACTCCAGACTTTACTAAAAATGGAAAAACTGAGGCAAGTGGATCGCTTGATCCCAAGAGTTGGAGGGTGCTATGATGCCATGGCACTCTACTCAGGGAGAAAGCTTGAGAATTTGTCTCAAAAAAACCAAAAGATTTATATAGAAATTTTATTATCTTTTTAGTACCTACAAGTGTATCAGTTTGTTTTAGTTAAAAGGTAACCAAAAAGGTAAAAAAAAATATTTTTTGAAGCAGAGTCTCAGTATGTTGCCCTTGGTAGAGGGCTGTGGTGTCTTAGCCCACAGTGACCTCAGACTCCTGGGCTCAAGAGATTCTCTTGCCTCAGCCTCCCAAGTAGCTGGGACTACAGGTGCTTGCCATAATGCCTGGCTGTTTTTTGTTGCAGTTGTCATTGTTGTTTAGCAGGCCCTGGTTGGGCTCGAACCCGCCAGCCCTGGTGTATGTGGCCAGCGCCATAACCACTGAGCAACAGGCACAGAGCCCAAAAAGGTAAAATTTATTTTAGTTAATATGTATATATTTTTATTGAATCATAGCTGTGTACGTTAATGCAATCATGGGGTACAATGTGCTGGTTTTATATACAATTTGAAATATTTTCATCAAACTGGTTTAATTAGTTAATATATTTTAAAGTCATTTGTGTGTTGTTATTTACATTTGCATAATTGCATTTCTTTGTTGATAATATTACTAATTTGTAAGTGTGAATCAATGGTTCATTTAAGCATAAGTTATAGAAATATATAAAATGCAAATGCAACAATTCAAAATAATCCCAATTTAATTGAAAGCAGGCTTTGATGTAAGGTAGAGTGCAAATCTGTAGTGCTCAGTGACTTGGCAAGGATTTTTGTACAAGCAGCTAAAAAGGGAAAGTGCCAACTGAAATCACTCCTCCAAATCTTTTTTTTTTTTCTTTTTTTTTTAGGGACAGAGTCTCACTATGTTGCCCTCAGAAGAGTGCTGTGGCATCACAGCTCACAGCAACCTCTAGCTCCGGGGCTTAGGCAATTCTCTTGCCTCAGCCTCCTGAGTAGCTGGGACTACAGGTGCCCACCACAACACTTGGCTATTTTTTTTTGTTTCAGTTTGGCTGGGGCTAGGTTTGAACCCACCACCCTCGGTATATGGGGTCGGTGCCCTACTCACTGAGCCACAGGCACCACCCCACTCCTCCAAATCTTAATTGCTTTAATAAACCCTCTAATAAAAACTTTGGGTTTCAAGTCCAAGATCTAAGTTTCATTGTCTACCTACTGATAATTTCCCTGAATTATGGGAGGAAGAATAAGGTGAAGATGTTAACTGTAAGAAGTAGTGATCGATAGTCTTGTAGCCCTCAGGGTGTTCTCTCCAAGTGGTGGCTGTAGGCTCGGTCTATAAACTACCACTCACCTATAAACATAAACTACAGTTTCAGAAGGCAAATGTGCTTTGAAACAGATGCTTCTGATTTTTTGATTTTTAAAAAACTTCTAAAGAGATGATTCCCTGTTTTAGAAAACGATTTTTACCACAGCATCTGAGAGAATGAACATAGCTTTCTGGCATATTTCTGAAAAAAGAACCCAAGAAATCATGCTATTAGGCTCTTCAACACCTTGATTCAGAACCTTGGCCTCTATGCAGAGTACTTTCCCCCATTACCTGTGTTTATGCCTTCCCGGATACTTCCTCATTCAGTTCTGCAATGATGGCTGGCTGTCCTCCCAAGAGTCTACACCTTCTCTGAATGTTTGCAGTTGTTCCCATTAGACACTTTCTATTCTCCTTTATCCCGATGACCCCGGAAACCCTACTTTACAACCATTTCTGGGGAAGTAATGGTTCCTCTTGCCCAAGGCACATTTATTTTCTTTTCTGCACTTAGTTGTGATTGCTGACCTGTGTGCTGAACTTTCATTGCTTACGGCAGAAGGCAGAGGTACAATCAAATTATACGCAAACAGGCTGCTGCCTTAGGTCTTGACTTGGCTGGAAATGTAGAAAGCCCCTGTGATTCTTAAGATGCTGGCCTGCCATTTTACTCTATTGTACTTAGTCCATAGCCCAGGGAAGCAGGCAATTATGCAAGACTCCACTATCAGAACAGACCTCAGAACTAGCATTTTTTTACTGGTCCCTCTCCCACACGGTACAAGGTCATCGTTTCACTACCAGCCATATTCTCAACAAAAACTTGCTAGGTGTGATAGAATTCCTGTTCCCGCTGTGTGCCCTTCCAATGCCTCTGGGTGGAATAAGGGGAAATGTCGTGGCAGCATTTTTCCTGTGCTTCTGAATATGCATCTCCCTGTTATCAGGCTTGCTGCTCGTTCCTCTTGGCACACCAAGATCTTCCACACTGGTTTCACTTGCGCCGCTTGGTATACTGGTTATCCATGCTACAGAAGACAGATTAAACTGCAAAGAATTGTTCCTGATTCTGAAGGCATAACGAGATAACAATTTGGAAGGTCTTCCTTTGTAAGTCATAAATAGTTTGATTGGGATAAATAATCCCTGACATGTAAGAAATCAGGTTTAGATATGGGAATAAGGAGGCTGAGCCCTGGCACCAAGGAGGCTCCCGGGTACTGACACCATGGCGTGATGCTTGATGGCAGCAAACTGAAAGAATTACTTAGAACTACTGTCCTCAACTCTACTTGTTTGGAGACATCATCCTTATAGCTTAGAATGAGAAATAAATTTGCTTTATAAGCTCCAGATACTGCTTGCTCAGTCTTACAGTACTTGAAGTCTGATCCTCCCATTGGCGTAGGTCACTCTTGTCACAACTTTCTGTGGCCAACTGTGAGGCTGACTGCAAGTTCTTCTACTAATGAACAAATCTATTACAAGTTCTTAGTCTCAGATTTACACAATGTCTAAATGCTACTGTAGTATCTGGTTATTTATAGTAAGGGGTGGTTTGGGGTAGGGAACCTGATAATTAATAGGTCCTACGACAGCTGGGTATCATCATACATGCTTTTCACATTACCTGTGTCCCTGAAGTAGGAAGTCAGGAATGATGTTCTATCTAATTCACAGTCCATATCCCCACAGTCTACTCCTGTCTCTGAGCCCTCAGCCATGGACCACCATGTCAAGGGACTCTTCTGGGCTTTGTTCCACAGCTGGGTTGGCTGGACAAGTGCCAGCTCTGATCCTGGGACCATGGCAGTTAATGACACACACTCCTTTTCCATATTCTGTATTTCCCTTTCTTGGGGGGAGCAGAGGGAAGTAGGCCAGGGACCCTTATTACATTTTCCGATGGACTCATTTGTATTGCCCCTGAGGCCTCCTTTGTTCCTAAGGTAGCTGGTGACACCTTGCTTCCTAGAACCAACCCTACAAGAAACAAAGGGATAACAAAGCCAAATGGGAAATAGGATCACACTTAGAACTCTTTCTGGGTAGAGAACAATTAGGGGAGGGGAAGGAGAAGTAGGGTGAATTACGGAAGGAAGGAAGCTGGCAGGCTCGATGCTTCTGTCTTGGCATCTCCAGCCTCCCTCTCATCCTCTTCCTGGTTATAGGGCCAAGGCCTCTGAAGCTTTCTGCATGAATAAAAGAAGGTGAAACTGAGTGATACCCTCATTTCAGGTTCTCAGGGCAGCCAAAATGATGTCCTTTGTCCCTCTGCTCTTAGTAACCATTCTGTTTCCTGCCATCCAGACAGAGGAACTTACAAAATGTCAGCTGTACCCGATGCTGAAAGACCTGAATGACTACAGAGGCATCACTATGCCTGAATGTGAGTCCCCTGCTCCCGTGTTTCTTCCCATTCCTTTTCTGCTTCTCTGCTCTGTCCTCCTTTTCTTCCCCTTCTCTCGTCCACTTTCACATAAGTATCTAATCACTTGTCTTCATTGCTTGTATGTATACTCTTTTATTCCATTTGTTCTCCTATCCTTCCTTTCTCCCATGTTCTGACCTTTTCTGAAACTCCTCATCTCATCCGGGTACTCTGTGCTTTGGCATCTTTGGAGACTGGATAGAAAGCATTTTTCTTTTTTTCTTTCTTTCTTTTGTTTGGCCGGGGCCGGGTTCAAACCCGTCAACCTCGGTACATGGGGCCGGCGCCCTACCCAGTGAGCCACAGGTGCCGCCCTAGAAAGCATTTTTCTTTCCGTCAATTATACTGATCCTGGGCATCTCTGTGACATCTCTTTTTCATTTTTCCCTTAGGGATGTGTACTTTATTTCATACAAGTGCTTTTAACACAGGAGCCATAGTCCAAAATGATGGAAGCACAGAATATGGACTCTTCCAGATTAGTGATAAGCTTTGGTGCAAAAGCAAGCAGACACCTCATTCAAGGAACATCTGCGGCATCTCCTGTGACAGTGAGTAGCTTCTGTTATATAACTGTGTTTCTCTGGAGCCTGCCCCTGGGATAATCTTTTTGGTGTCAAGCACATGTCTGGGTTCAATGCCTTGGTTGGACTCCACAAAAAATTGTGGGACTTGAATTGACAGTTCTGAGTAAGAAACTGTTTAGATTTTTCATAATCACTAAATTCCTAGATGGTTTCCTGAAGTCCACGGGTAAACTATTTGAAATTTGGTACTCTGCTTTTCAGAGTTTATAATTCCTCCAAAGATGTACCAGGGAAGTGAAGCAAGTCCCTAAGCTAAGACCAAACTAAGACTCGGGGGAGACATTACTGTATTGGTCTTTTCATACAGAAAGACCTTGAGTTCAGAGAAGAACGAGACCCACTGGGTCCAGGGAATAGGGGAAATCATTACCTCCTTACCTTTATGGATAATACTTCTTAGCTCTCTAATTTCGTTCCCTGCAACTCCTGACAGAGCTCCTGGATAATGACCTTACTGATGACATTAAGTGTGCCAAGAAGATCCTGGACATCAAAGGAATTGACTACTGGTAAATCCTCATTCTATTTTCTACTTCCCCAGCTCTTTCTCCTAACCCATTAACCCAGTATCACTTTCAGCTCTATCTCCTGCTCATTTAATCTAGAATGTAGTCTCTAAAACAAAACTCATTTAACAGACTCAGTTTACACTTTTAAGCCTCCCTTGTTTCATTCCTATGTAGCAACTTTCCTAATGAGGGGATGTCTAATTCCACTTGTTTATTCCTATACCCTAAAGTAATCCCTTGGTATCATTGCACATCTTTTCTTTTTCCTTCCTTCCTTCCTTCCTTCCTTTCCTTTTTTTGAGACAGAGTCTCACTCTAATGCCCTGACTAGAGTGCAGTGGCATCATAGCTCACAGCAACCTCAAGCTCTTGGGCTCAAGTGATTCCCTTGCTTCAGTTTTTCTATTTTTAGTAGAGACGACATCTCACTATTGCACAAGCTGTTCTCGAACGCCTGAGCTCAAGCAATCCACCTGGCTCGGCCTCCCAGCATGCTCAGATTACAGGCATGAGCCACTGCGCTCAGCCTGCACATATTTTTAGCCCTACAGTTTTCTTGCATTATGTTTTTATAGACCCTACCCTGCTATGTGGTGCTGTGTGGCTTAGTGTCCCTTGTTATCTATCTAGGAAAGTCTTACTGTATTTCTCATCCACACTCTTCCACCTCAGCCCTCCTGGGGATGTAACTAGACAGAAACCCAAGCTAAGATCCAGTCACACAACTCACCTTGTGCCCTTCTTCATTATCAGGTTGGCCCATAAACCACTCTGCACTGACAGGCTGGAACAGTGGCGCTGTGAGGAGTTGTGAGCATCTGCTATCCTGGCCATGCCTGCCCTCTCTATGCTCCTGGAATGCCTCTTCCCCAATGCTACCTCACTTTGCTCCTTTCTACCCTCTGGAAACTGTCTCTGAGCCCTGAGCCCTGTATCAACACCACTAGACTCTTGAGAACTATTCTCCAGGAATGCATAGCTGGTCACTGGATTTTAGAACTTCCATTAGTGCCCCTGATGGCACTTTCACTACAGCAACAGATTCCACTGCTGTTCTGAATAAAGGGCCTATTTGAAGTCACAGGCTGTATTTTCTTCCTGGAGGCAAGGGGAGAAAATAGGGTAAATGGGTGGCCACTTGCTATCTCTGAAGTAGGCTGAACTTGCATCAGAAAGATGTGGGTTACTTAGGGTAATAATTCAATAAACTGTAATCGATCACCTAGTACATTCAAAGAACTATAGAGGGATCCAAGTTTGGCTAAAGGGGCCTTTCCCCTCAAAGACTAATAGGAGAGGGCGGTGCCTATGGCTCAGTGAGTAGGGCGCCAGCCCCATATACCGAGGGTGGTGGGTTCAAACCTAGCTCCAGCCAAACTGCAACCAAAAAATAGCCAGGAGTGGCAGACACTTGTGGTTCTAGCTACTCGGGAGGCTGAGGCAGGAGAATCGCCTAAGCCCAGAAGTTGGAAGTTGCTGTGAGCTGTGTGACGCCACAGCACTCTACCGAGGGTGACAAAGTGAGACTCTGTCTCTAAAAAAAAAAAAAAAAAAGAGAGAATAATTGGAGAGATAATATAAACATTAATAAATAGCTATAATAAAAAGGAATAGTGTTATAAGCATCATAGGAGTGGTTACAGAGGTGCCCTTGGCATTCACAAGAGGAAAGATAATTTATATTTGGAGGGAATGTTAGAAAAATGATCATGAAAGGGAGCATTGAAGCTGGTTTTGAAGAATGGGTGGGATTTTGACAGGTAGAGATGTGGAGTGGGAAAAGAACAGCATGGATGGGGACCCAAGAATCTGAAATGGGTGACTTGAAGGCTTTGAGGAGTTTCTTTATCCTTCATGAAGAGCTGTGCAAGGAACTCTCTCTGTTTCTCTGGAAACTGGAGATAGAACAGAAACCCTTGCAGTCAGCTCAGGGATTATTAAGAATCTGAGGACCTAGAATCCTTTTGTTTGAACCCTCCCCTCTATTATTTCTTCTTTCTCTTTGCTTGTTTTTAAGGAGGATGTTTGCAGAATATTATTTATTCCAATAATTATGGGATTTGTGAAAGAGGAAGAATCAGGAGATTTGGGTCCTAAAGTCTATTTCTACTAACTCACTGATGGTCTGAATCTGGGCAAGTCATCTCCCTTCTCTGTGCCTCAATTTCCTCATCTTAAAATGAGGGTTTGGGGGCTGGCCATGGTGGCTCATGCCTGTAATCCTAGCACTCTCGGAGGCCAAGGCAGGAGGATTGCTTGAGCTCAGAAGTTCAAGACTGGCCTGAGCAAGAGTGAGACCCTGTCTCTACTAAAAATAGAAAAACAGAGGCAAGAGGATTGCTTAAGCCCAGGAGTTTAAGGAGTTCGGGAATGAGCTATTGTGCTGCCACGGCACTCTACCCAGGGCAATAGAGTGAGACTCTGTCTCAAAAAATTAAAAAAAAAAAAAGAAGGTTTTGGTCTTGATGGTTTTCTGAGATCATTTCCTGCTTTGATAATCCAGCTTTCCAAAACCACAATTTAATTTTTCATATTTCTGAATTAATGGTGAATGAAATTTTCAGCCTCTTTCTGTCTTCCTTGCCATTCTAAGATGTCCAATACCGCTAATTCCACTCCTCTCACCCCAGTACCCTCTGGGAGTTTAGACACACATGCTTCCTTTGTCTCAGACACCATCAGCTTCCAAACAAAGTCCCCAAAATTAAGGCTTAGGGAACTCGTAGGGGCAGACAAGGGGTGGGGAGGCCATCCCCCCTTCCCACATCCAATGGGAACAAACTTCCAGGAAATACTGTGGTATCAGTCACATCATTTTAGTGTGGATTTGAACACAATGTGATGCATCTCCTGGGGAAGTTGCATATTATTCCCCCAAAAAACCTTCCCCTAAATCTTCAGGGTTTCAGAAGTAAAGCCTGTGTATGAGTGTGTGAGAGGGGGCATTGGAGTCAAATGGCCATTCTTCCTGCTGAACTCACACATCTACTTCTTACCTATCAACCTGCCTCAGCTACATCTTCTGAAAGCCACACACTACAGAAAATATGAGGGATCAGCTCCATCAAGTGGCTAGAGCAGAAACACAACTGAAGTTAGGACTGCATTGCACAGCCCGTGCCTCTGGCCCTCGTCCTACATAGATAGGGAAAGTTCACTTATGAGTACGTACATATATACCCATCTATGAGGCCATGATCTTTTTTTTTTTTTGAGACAGAGCCTCAAGCTGTCCCCCTGGGTAGAGTGCTGTGGCATCACACTCACAGCAACCTCCAACTCCTGGGCTCAAGCGAGTCTCCTGCCTCCGCCTCCCAAGTAGCTGGGACTACAGGCACCCGCCACAACACCCAGCTATTTTTTGGTTGCAGCCGTCATTGTTGTTTGGCAGGTCCGGGCTGGGGATTCGAACCCGCCACCTTAGGTGTACGTGGCTGGCGCCTTAGCCGGTTGAGCTATAGGCGCCGAGCCAAGGCCATGATCTTAAAGAGCCTTTGCTGAAGGAGTCTGACAATAAGAGATTTATCTGTAGAGAAGATCTAAGCCTGAGGGTCAGAAGATTAAGAATAGATAGAAGCCAGGGAGCTGGTGCAGAGGCAGTCTTTTTAAAAATGCCTATGAGGTTAAATTGGCTAACTCATCCTAGGAAAAGTGCTACATACCTCATTACTGAGAATCACGATGGTCACCTTCAAAGGTGTCAGAGTGCAGACCATTCACTGAGCTTTGTGTGAGAAGGACTCAGGATGGTGCCCAACACCATGGAGTCTCCTATCATGATTTCTCTTCCCTGCTACATTGCTCTGACACCTATCTTGTTATGAAGGCAGATTTTATTAGATAAAATCCAATATTCCTTTTCATATGTTTATCTCACCCCACCTTCTCTCTCATTTTTCTTTTTTTTTTTTTAAGACAGAGTCTCCCTTTGTCAGCCTCGGTAAAGTACCATGGTGTCACGGCTCACAGCAACCTCAAACTCTTGGGCTTAAGTGATTCTCTTGCCTCAGCTGCCCAAGTAGCTGGGACTACAGGCACTGGCCACAATGCCCAGCTATTTATTTATTTATTTATTTGGTTGTTACAGTTGTTTTAGCTGGCCTGTGCTGGGTTTGAACCTGCCACCTTTGGTGTATGTGGCTGGCGCCATAACCACTGTGCCATGGACATGGAGGCTCTCTCTCATTTTCTTAAGTTTATCTATTAGATGACAGGATTTACTATACACCTGAGACAGAGAAGCTATTAGACAGAGGTTTTGCTCTTGAGAACTTTATACTTTTGAAGGGAATACCCATCTCTTCCCATTTCCTACAATTGTGCAAGAGAGAGAAAAAAGTCCTCAGATGGATCCACGTTCACTCTTTCATCCATTTCTTAATTTGTCAACAAATGGTTATTGAGGATTTGCCATTTGCTAGGGTCTATTTTAGGTGTTAAACTTGTTAAAAATGAAGACAGGAGACACATTCATTTTATTTATTTCTTCCAAGTTATTATGGAGATGTAGCTCTTTCCAGGGGTCTTTCAGGATGGGAGCAAAGTGGAAGTTGGGTCTCCCGGTGCCAAGCTGGGACTTTCCCAGAATGCGGTAAGATATTTACCAGTGGTCTTTCCTGCACAGACAAAAGGAAAAGGGAGAAGGAGAAGCAGAAAGAGGAGGGGTAAAAAGGTCCAGAAATGAGAGAAAAGAGTAACAGTTGTAGAAATGGCCAACGAAGACCTGGAGATCTTCTTGTGGAGTGCCTGGGCCCCCTGAGGAGGGGAGCCACCTGTTCTGTGGTGGTTTCTCTGTGTTTCTTGGAAGGAAACAGGGCACCGGAGGGCACTCTGTTTTGGAATGGGGTGAATGCAGAGATAGCTGAGTGCTGGTAGCTATTCCTGCCTCTTCTTTACCCCATATCTTTTTCTTCTGGTAAGACGGGAGAGCCTGGGTTAGAAGGTAAGCCTAGACTTCCTGGCCAGCATCCTCTTCAGAGCTGTCTTCACCTCCTGGTTCTTCAGACTGTAAATGAGGGGGTTTAGCATCGGGGTCACCACACTGTACTGCACAGACAGCACTTGCTCCAGGGCTGAGCCGGATGCTGGAGTCATGTACCTTGAAGGGAATTGCACAAAGAGGCAATTGATGACATTGTCACATTGAGGACAATACCGTTGGCAGCCCTGGTCCATCCCATGTCTGCAAAGACTCTGCAAAGACTTCAGAGCTGAGTTGACTATCTCTGGTGGCAGCCTCAATCATTTTTGCCTTCAAATGCCTCCAAACATGAGTGACCTTACACAGAAAGTTATAGGAGTTACCATGAGAAGAAGAAAGTTCTGTAGCATGTCAAGGGCTGCAGGTTAGAACTAATAAAGATGATTTCATGCATTTCCATAGGACTTCACACTCTTCAAAGCATGGCTCCTTAATAGTTGTGATAGTAATATGAGAGAATTTTCTGTTTTTCCCCTGTATGTGCAGCAATACCAACACACTATGTTCTCAGCTTGTGATAACTGATCTTATGCATGCTTAGTCCAAACTCCGTATTGCTCCCAACATTTATGGCTCTTGGAATTACCCTCACAATCATAGCATGTTATTTTTATAATGCCTACTGGAATAAACATTTGTGCTTTTAGTTGCATCTTTCTTTGGTTTGGAAAATAAGCCCAAACTGGTAAAATGGGAGATGAAAACATGTTAAGCATAAGATAATTCTAAAACAAAATTAAAAATGTGGGTATATTTTGCTAAGTAGCACTGTAGTATTTCTCAGAACAGCATTGTTGTTATTATTTTTTGCAATGGCACCATCATCAATGGAATAAGTATAGACTATTCCAAGAACTTTTTTTGTGGGCTTTGATGCATTTTGTTATAAAAGATAGCATTTTTTTCTAAAGGCAGTGTCTCCCCCTGTCACCCAGGTTAGAGTGCAGGAGCACAATCATAGCTCAGTGTAACCTTGGACTCCTGGGCTCAAGTGATTTTCCTACCTCAGCTTCCTGAGTAACTGGCACTATAGGCACCTGCCACTTTGCCTGGCTAATTTTTCTTATTTTATTTTTATTTTTTGTAGAGATGGGGTCTCATTATGAGGCTGGTCTCAAACTCCTGGGGTCAAGCGATCCTCCTACCTTGGTTTCCCAAAGTGCTGGGATTACAGGTGTGAGTCACAGCATACAGAGTGTTTTTCATCATTGAACTTATCCCTGCTAACAATTCTACAATGTAGGTATTTATGCCTCTTATGGTGCTATTAGGAAACTGAGATAGAGGGAGATAAAAAGATTTGTCCACAGCTTAGGTAAGCTCACCTGGACTAGTTCCTTTCCTTATAATCCATTTCCACCCCATAACTTCTGTCTGAGTCACAAGCAGGCAAGGAAAGCATTTGGCACAGACACGAATTCTTCAGTCTCCTAGGGAGGGAACACTCATCAGCTAGAGGTGTTCATGATTGATTGAGAGAAGCATGGTAGGAAAGAACATGAATCTTTGTTCAACTTATGACTCCATCACCAGTTTATTCTGAGCCTGTCAAGATTATCTGGTTACTCCCCAAACTCAGGTTCTTTACCTGAAACTGAGTTACTAACATCTCTCTTGTGGTGTGATACATATTAAAATTGAACTTGAGGCTGGGCGTGGTAGCTCCTGCCTGTAATCTTAGCATTCTGGGAGGCCAAGGTGGGTGGATCCTTTGAGCTCAGGAGTTTGAGACCAGCCTGAGCCTGAGTGAGATCCTGTCTCTACTCAAAATAGAAAAGCTAGCTGGGCATTGTGGCATGTGCCCATAGTCTCCACTACTTGGGAGGCTAAGGCAAGAGAATCACTTGAGCCCAAGAGTTTGAGGTTATGGTGACTATGATGCCATGGCACTCTACCCACTGTGAAAAAGTGAGACTCTGTCTCAAAAAAAATAAATAAATAAATAAAATTGAGCTTGACAACATAAAGCAGCTGGTGTACAGCAGGTGCCTAATAAATAGCTGTAACATAAACAAACTTGGGGGACCTCATCTTCCAGTAGGAAAGAAAGATGGCATCTGTTTCAAGGATAGGTTTTATTTTTGTGGCTAGCACCTAAATAAAAATCTACTAAAAGTTCTCTGATTTTTTTTTTCAGTATTCCCAAATCATAGGTTAATAAAGCAGGAAAATCTTTGTCTAAGCTCATTTTTCAGAACAGACAATTGAGGCCTCAGAAAGAAAATGGATTCTTTACAATTCACACAGCAGGTCCCCAGCAGAGCTGGTGCTAGAGGCTAGGCCTTTTGGATTTCCTGCTACTCGGCTGAGCTCTGTTCTACAGACCAATGCCATGGCAGGGTGAGGAACACCCAACACTTACATCCAGGAGGAATAGCATGACTTACCTGGAACATCCTGAGCCATAGAAGATGACAAGTACCAGGAAATGCGAAGAGCAGGTGGAAAAGATCTTGCTCCGACCTGCTGCGGAATTGACCCTCAAGGCTGTCGTGATGATGCGGCTGTAGGAGCCCAGCAACAGGATGATGTTGCTGAGGCCCAGGACCACCATGGTGGTCAGCATGGAGGCGATGCTCGCGTGGGGGTCAGAACAGGCCAGCAAGAGCACTGGAGGAAGCTCGCAGGCAAAACTGCGGACGAGGTTGGGGCC